GCTCCGGGTCTGTTCAGGATCCCGCGGCCTGGGTCGTCTCACTCCTAAAATAAGGTTTCTTGTAGGGATTATAGAATTTTTTGACTTTAAAAATGTATTGTCAGTTTGGTAGAAATTAAAACCATTGTAAAATATGTCATAGGACAATTTAAGGAAAAGTGATGTTTTAGTTAAAATAAGAAAAAATAAGGGCAACTAGTAAGGTCAACAGTGTCAGATGATAAAACGAAGAGAGTATGCAAAGGCCTGTTTGTATGATGTTTCTATCAGTAGATAAATTATTGTAAACTTAGCTTTTCTGTTATGCCATGTACAACTCCAATAAGGCCTGGTGAGAATAACTACCACTCTATTCTCTGTTCTATTCTAATTCTCCTTTATCTTGGCTTTCACATTTTTATAGGTCCCCTTTGTCAGTGGTGCTAATCATGACTTGCATTTTTAAAGTAGTACTGAAATTATTCTTCTGTTATTTGTTATAGAAATTTGTTGTTTTAGGGCATATTTATTGATTTGATTCATGATGTTAGGCTGTGAAAATTTGAGCTTATTAATACAGTGCTTTATACTTATGTTGTTTAGATATCCCTTTATTCCATGAAGTTGTCTCTTTGTGAATTAGGTATAAGGCTAAGGTCAAAGCCAAAAAGTCTAGAAATCTAGGATAATATATCATTCTCTTAATAACAAGAGTACTCAATTTCCAGTACACTAGTTGCTAAATAAAATTTGTCCAGCGAATTAATTCCAAATCATTTTAAAGCAATATACATGTGGTTGACTAGTACATCACCTGTGGAATCAGGCCTATTTAGGTTCAAATTGTAGTCTACAGCTTTCTAGCTATGTGACTTGGGTCAAGTAATAAATTTCTTTAAACCTTAGTTCTCATGTGTAATATGAGACTAGTACTATCTGTTTTCAATGATTAGATAAAATAAATAAAGTGCCTAATGTATGTTTGTGATTGTATGTTTACAGATAAAAAATATATATATCATAAAGTAATTTAATATTATAATTACTATTCCTATAACAATATCCTTTTTGTTTTACAGATGCAGCCATCATGATTTCTTGCTGTGCTATATCTTGGTCAACTGTTGATTTTCAAGTAGATTTAAGAAAATCCTTGCCTGATAAAAATCTTCTAAAGGGATTCTGTCCTATAGCCACATATCTCCTTTACAAGTTGTGTACATTATTATCTTGGATGTTGAGTATTGTACTTCTGTTGTTTATAAATGTCAAGATAGCTTTATTTCTGCTATTATGTCTTTGGTTGGTAGGCTTAATATGGGCATTTAAAAATAAAACCCAATTTTGTAATTCCAAAAGCATGGAATTCTTATATAGGATTGTTGTTGGATTTATTCTGATTTTTACATTTTTTAATATTAAGGGACAGAATACCAAATGTCCAATGTTTTGTTACTATGGTGTGAGGGTACTGGCCACATTGGGAATATTGATTGTGTTCTGGGTTTACCCACTCTCTATTTTTAATTTAGATTACTTTATAGCTATCAGTATCACTATAGTTCTTTCTCTTCTCCTTGGAATTATTTTTCTCATTGTTTATTATAGGATTTTTCACCCAAACAGAGGTAAAGAAACGGAATGTGATGAAATTGATGGAAAATTACTCCAGAAAGATTGTAGAATGAGATATTTCCTCATGGAATGAACTATCTATGAGATATAATTTCTCATTTTTGTTTCATTGGTTAGTAAAGAAAATGTATGTTTGATGTGTGTGTCCTCTGTTATTTTTGCCACCTTTAATTTGAGGTTTATTTTGGCACTTTAATTCTGAACATGAGAAAACATAATGATATTTTATTATTTAAATTAACTTATTTTGTTATATTCCCACTCCTCTCATGTGACTTTGAAGATTTTAAGCACTAAGATATTTGTTTAATGTCTTGAGCCTGAAATGGATTTTTCATCTTGCAAAACTTAGACTCTGTCACCCTTGAACAATTGTTATCCCTTCCTTTTGAAACTGCAGTTCTCCCATAAAGACTGGCATTGAGGTTCCCTTCAAATTTTCCTTTATTGTTCCTAAAACTCCTACACCCCTTGTGGAGAACTGCACGTCAGGTTACCTCATTCTACCTTTCTTTATTACTTTTTTTTTTTTTTTTTGTGGTACTAGGAATTGAACTCAGGACTTCACGCTTGCCAGGCAGGTGCTTGAGCCACTGAGCTATCTCCCTGGCTGTATTTATTGTCTTTATTCATTACGAATTTTGAGTTGGGAGCAAATTGAGTAGTGGGAAAGGGAACAGAAATACAGAACAAAAAATCAGATTCTTAGTGAGTCCCTACTGTGTTCCTTTCTATGAATTCCCCAATTCAGAAAATACTGAAGAGAACTGGTGTACATTTGAAGGGATCTAAAATTGTATTATTTACTTATGTTACTTTTTGAAATAAAATGTATCAAAATTTTATGCTTGATGTGATTTTCATTAATTCTATTTATGCTAAAATTGTTTTATCCAAATTATATTGTATTTACATTGTTTTAAAAATTATAAAAACATGTGCATAATTTGCTATCTTAATCATTTTTAAATATAATCCAGTAGCATTAACTATATTTACCTTGTGTAACAGATGTGGTAGCACTTTTTTATCTTACAAAACAGACTATATCACCATTGAGCAATTGTTCTTCTCACTGGCAACTGAAATTCTACTTTGAGTTTGACTACTTCAGGTTGTTGAATTGTATATTATTTGTCTTTATGACAGGCTTTTTTAGTATGTCCTCAAGTTTTATACATGTGAAAACTGTGGTGGTGAACATACAACATGGATATTACTATCTTTTAAAAGACAAAATATGGCAATATCTGAGTTGCTTTTCATAAACTAAAACCTCTGTATTCATTATTCCATTGTATGTAAGTACCACATTTTCTTTTTTTCAAGAGACATTTCATTTTTTAATTTTTTTATGTTTTTGCAGTACTGGGGATTGTACTCAGGACCCTGTGCTTGCCAGGCAAGCACTTATTCTACTAAGCTATCTCCCCAGCCCCAAAGAGACATTTTAAACTATGCAATTTTCATAGAAGTTTAAAAGCCATACCTTGCCCTGTTTAGTGATGGTTTTTATTAGAAAGTCGGTTCTCACATTATCAACGTTTGACACTAGAATGGAGCCATACTCAGGAGTGGTATCAGATGGATACATGTACTCCTGGGTACATATGCTCCAGTGCATTCAGGTCCCTGAGGTAGGCAGATAACAGTCACATCTTCTTATCAGTAAACTAACTTCTACCTGGCAATCCCAGTTTTAAAGTGATCAAAAGAGGACTGAAGATTATGAGCAGGAGGGTTTTAAAGTCCCTGGGCATTCAAGGTTCTTCCAGAAACATTAGCATCAAAAGGCAATTTATACCATCAGCTGCAGAAAGGATCTGTTTGCCTTTTTAATTTTCTTCCTTCGGACCACTGTGTCGTCCACACCAGTCTCTTCTTCCGGCTTCAGGCCTCTTGGTACAGGGGTGTGTGCAGTTCCCAAGGAGCACGGTGTGCACGAGCATGTCCAGGGGCCCAAGGCCCATATTTTCTTTATCCATTCATCTTTTGTCAGTTGTATGGGGTGTTTCCAAGATTTAACTCTTATAAATTGTGCTGCTGTAAACATGGATATACATATATCATTGTAGTATGAGGCTTTTAACTATTTTGGAAAGATACGTATAAGCTGGGTCTAGATTTAGTTTTTTTGAGGCATCTTTAGTGCTTGTAGTTGTGTTTACATATTCTAATCTGTTCCATTGATACTCAGATCTTTTTTTTTTTTTTTTTTTTCCAGTACCATGCTGATTTTATCACAGTAGCTTAGTATTAATTTCAGGTCAGGGATTGTGATACCTCCTGCCTTTCCTTTGTTTCCCAGGCTTACTTCTGAAATTCTGATCTCTTCTGATTCTAAGTGAATTTGAGGAAAGTTTTCTGTAGCTCTGTCAGGTATACTAGTGGTATTTTAATTGAGATTGCATTGAATCTGTATAGCAATGTTTGGAGTATGGCCATTTTCACAATGTTATCTTTCTACCCAGGAGCATGGTATATCTTTCCAGTTTCTCAAATCCTCTTTAATCTTTTTTCTCAGAGTACTTTAATTTTCATTGTATAAATGTTTTACTTCCTTAGTGAGATTCATTCCTAAGTTTTTCATTATTTTTGGATGTTATTGTAAAAGGTGTGGTTTCCCTAATTTGTCTCTCAGTATGTTCATTGTTTGTATACAAAAATACTACTGATTTTTTTGTGTGTTTATTTTGTGTCCTGCTGTGTTATTGAATTTGGTTATTAAATCTATAAGACTCTTGGTGGAGTTTTTGGGGTCCTTCATGTAGAGTTATCATTATCATGCCATCTGCAAATAATGATAATTTCACTTCTTTCTTTCCAATCCTTATTCCTTTTATTTCTCTCTCTTGTCTAATTACTCTGGCTAATGTTTCCAGAACTATATTGAATACTTGTGGGGACAGTGGGCATCTTTGTCTTGATACTGATTTAAAAATGAAGGCTATCAGTTTTTGTCCATTTAGTGTGATGCTGACTATTGGTGTCTCATAGATGGCTTTTAGGAGGTTGAGGTAAAGACCATGTATTCTAATTTTCTGTAGGTTTTTTTTTTATCATGAATGAGTGTTGGACTTTGTCAAAAGTTTTTTCTGCATCTATTGAAATGATCATGTGATTTTTGTCTTTGGCTTTGTTGATACGGTATATTACATTTATGGATTTGTGTATATTGAACTGTCCCTGCATTCCTGGGATTAATCCCACTTGCTCATGATGTATAATCTTCTTGATGATTTGATGCATTCTGTTTCTTAGTATTTTATTGAGGATTTTTGCATCTATATTCCTTAAGAAGACTGACCTGTAGTTCTCTTTTTTGGTTGAGTCTTTCTCTGATTTTGGTATCAGAATAATGCTTGTCTCCAGGAATGAGTTTGGGAGAATTGCTTCCCTTTTAATTTTATTAAAGAACTTGAGAAAAGTTGGCATTTAATCTTCTCTAAATTTCTTGTGGAATTCAGATGGTTATCCATTAGGACCTGGGCTTTTCTTTGTTGGTAGATTTTTGATTACATTTTAAGTTTTATTCTCTAATATCACTTTATACCAATTTTTAAAATTTTTCTTGACTCAGCTTAGGCATTTCATATGTATCTGGAAACTGTCCATTTCCTCTGTGTTTCCTATCCTGTCAGAATATTGGAAGTAGGTATTGATGATCTTTAGAATTTCTGTCAGTTCTGCACTGGTTTTTCCCTTTTTATTTCTTATCTCATGATTTTGAGTTTTTCTTTCCTTGTTTTTGATTAGTTTGGCTAGAGGTTTATCAATTTTATTTATTCTTTCAAAGAACCAAGTCTTTCATTTATTAATTCTTTGTACTTTTTTTTGGTCTCCATTGCATTAGTTTCTTCTCTGATCTTTAACTTCTTTGGGCTTTGGGCTTGACTTGCACTTCTTTTTCTAAAAACTTGAGATGCAGCATAAGATTGTTTATTTGGGCTTTATCTGTTTTCCTAATGTGCAAATTTACCACTATAAATTTCCCTCTTAAGATAGTTTTCACTGTATCCTGCAAATTGTATCTGCATTTTCATGCAATTATAAATATTGTTTAATTTCATCTGTGACCCACTGGTTATTCAGCAGGTTGTTATTTGCTTTCCATGTGCTTATCTAGCTTTTGTTTGTTAATAATTTCCAGTTTTATTATACTACTGTCAGATGGTATGCATGGGATAAGTTCAATTCCTTTGCATTTACTTAAGCATGCTATGTATACTAGTATATGATCTATTTTGGAGAATGTCCCATTTG